TCTTTCCCTGTCTCCACCCCATCTTAGTTATCTGGACACAACGCGGCATTCCAGCTGAGCGCACCTACCCCAGCCGCAAAACCTCCTCTGCGCCGTTGTTAAAAATTTCCTTCTTTAAACTCCTCCCCGCAAGGGTGACTTTGTTGTTCCTTGCCTCCTCTGTGCGCGACGCATTGTTTTCCAACTGGCCGCCCTTAGAGAGATGTGGGCCTTCTCCTGAGTGCTCCTGGTTAATTTAGAAGCAGGCAGTATGTGTAAGACATTGTAATTATTCCTTCCAGCTGGCAACACCATTGATTTGTTGTCTCGTCCACCTTTTAAGCCCTGTCGCAGGTTTGCAGCTGTTGCAAGGCTTGGCTTACCAAAAATAAATGGTCCCTTCTTGCTTTCCTCCTCCCCAGATGGGTGAGAAGCAGCCACTGCTTCCTGCAGAGAGTCAGGGCAGGATGGAAATCAAATATTTATTCCTACTCTTGATTTTCTGTCTCCCAACCAGTTTCTAATCTCTCCGTAATGCCTTCGGTTCCTGAAAGAGCCTTATACGGAGGCATTTGCCGTAAGCTTTTAAAATGTCTGGAGAAATTATATCGAGTCTTCCCGTGTCCCCGTGGCCTGTGCAACTGGCTGTGACCCTCTGGGGGGACAGGAGGTCGCCCTGCAGAAGCTGTGCTGCCAGGCTCCCCCCTTTTTCCCATCCCAGAAGTGGTAGATCCACATGTCCCAGGGACACAGCTGGGGTTGGGATGGCGCCAGCATAGTCTGGCGGGGGGGCGGAGGACAATCCCTACCCAAGCATCTCCTGGTGTCCCTTTGTTTCTGCTTTTCCGAGGCGGGGGTTCACACAGATTTTGGCGTGGGCTGGGTTTCCAGGCTCCGGAGGAAGAGGTTTTATGCCAATACCCTACACCAGCAGCCAGGCTGTTTCCGTCCTTGTTCATCCTCCCGCAGGTCTTCCGCCTTGGCCAGCAGCCCCAAAAGCCCCCTCGCAGGGCTCCTGCAGTTTTAATAGGGGACTTTTCTGGACAAGCACTCCCCTTATTTCACCTCCTCCTAAGTCTGTGACCCCAGCGATGGTTTGGGACATTTCCTCCTCCAAAAGGTGCTGTCCTTCCCAGTTATGCTGCTGTTATTTGGGTGCACAAGCAGAAGTCACCTGTTGAACCCCCCCTCCTGTTAGTGATGTGGGGGTGAGCCTTCAGCTTGGCAAAGCCCTTGAGCTTATGCTCCAGCTGAAGTACGTACTCAGAGCTTTTTTCTTCGAAAAAAACCCTCTCAACTTTGAGGCAATGTGCTGAAGGCGAGAGCCCCGAGCTTGTCTTATGGCATTAAATACCCTCCAGAAGGAGCAGCGGAGCTGTAGGGACGGTTCTGGCTCAGCAAGGAGACCCCACCAGCATGCCAGTGATGGCAGGGCTCTGGGGAAAACTGGGTCTTCTGGCTTTATGCTCTGGTATCCCCAAATAGGGGTGAGGTTGTGCCTTTCCTAGGAGGGACAGGACCCACTGAGGGGCAAAAGCTTTGTGCGGACCTGGCCATGGGTTGCTCTAGAATAGGTGGCTCCAGGAGCCATGCTGGGGGTGAACCAGCTCGTGCCTAGCTAGGTCAGGAACTCATTACTAGTACTTAATTAGATTTATACCCCACGTGAGCTCCTCGCCATCACGCTCTGACCTGGAGGCCGTGATTTCCCACTGGTTTCTGCTTCCCTGTCATGGGGATGGGGGCTCCTCCTCCACGGAGCGGTGCTTCCCCCCAGCCCCAGCCTGTACCCCACACTGCTCCATGGTGGGGTAGGTGAGAGGTGCCCAAACTGTGACGCCCCTCCCACCCCGCCCCGGGGCAATGATACCCAAATCCTTCCGGTGCTATTTCTGTAATGCCAGCTATGCAGCTGGCTGTGGGCTGGCCATCTCCTCCAGGGATGCCACCCTGAGCATCCTGGGGAAGGACACCTCGGCTTGGGCTGGCTGGTCCCCTCTGTCCCCGCAGCAACCTCACGTCCCGCGGGAGGCTCGAACAGAAAATGTCACGTTTATTGTTCACGATCAGCTTTACAAAAGAAACGTCCCGACACGGGCACGCATCAGGGGCCCCTTTCACAAACGTGCATTAGAGAAAGCGCATGAGCGAGCGAGGAAGAGGGGGCAGCTCGGCGGGGTGCATGAAGGTCACAGCGTTTCCCACTTGGCATGAGGGCTGTGCCCAGTCCCCAGCCTGTCCCCCCCTCCTGGCGGGCTG